AAATTCGTTATTTGCAGAAAAAAACTAACGGTTCCAAATCGCCAAACAGCAGTAAAACGGCCTATTTCGCATGCATATAAAAACATATTTGTACCTGTGGACGACTGTATAGTTCGATCATTTCGACTGCAAGAGTACAAGACGTCATTTTCAACATATAAACACAGAGTAGAGACAGTGGCGTAGACAAGGGGGGGCTCAGCCCCCCCCCCCCCAAATAGGCTGATGGACTGCCCTTGTAAAAGATGAAAACCGGGTAGAAATTAGGGGGGGACGATGACTACCCATGTGACTACCAATCTCATCTGTTCACCAAATTGTCTATAAAAGTTCTAATCTTTCCTAAATCTAACTACAGAAAATAATGCCTATGGTGGTTATTGGTTAAAATGCGTTTTAAAACTTCGATTTAACTATTTACAGACGACCAAGTAAGCTTCGTTGAGTCAAATTAAGGATCCAGGCACATTATTGAGAAATCATTAAAAATCAGGTCTTTCCTGCAGTAAATAATCTTCAGAATTATGCAAAATCTCTCTCCAGAAACACGGGAAATCGCCATTGAGGGACTCCAGATTTCAAAATTTTCCCGGGGGAGAATGCCCCCGGACCCCCCTAAGAAGGCTTACGCCTTCGGCGTTCGATATATGCCCCCCCAAAAATTATAGTCTGGCTATGCCACTGAGTAGAGAGACGTAACCAGGGTTGGTAGCATATGTTGGTAGGCTTTCGCGCATGCACAAAGCCAAATGACCTTTAAAAAAGGCCAAATTCTACTAAATAAGGCCAAATTTCATTTTTTTGAACAAAAGCCAAAAAAGAGCCAAATCTTATCAATATTTTCGACTTTGCAGTATGTTGATACAGTGCTGCCAAGAAATAACTTATCAAAAACCGCGTCCAAGACGCGGGCATCTTGCGTCCACTGTGCGTCCACGGGCGCCCGCGGGTGCGTCCGTCCTGCGGGCGTCGTGCGTCCGTCGTGCGTCCACTGTGCGTCTGCGGGCGCTTACGGGTGCGTCCAGTGTGCGGGCGCCATGCGTCCGCTTTGCGTCTGCGGGCGAGGACGCAGCTGAGAAAGAGTTCTATTCGTAGATCGTCGGAAATTATCGCGTTTCGCTTTTCATAAACAAACCGTGAGCGTCGGAAAATATTCATGTTAGCGATTTCACACCACGTTTTTATGTTTATACACAAGCGTTACAGACCTAGAATCCTAGATATTTATATTTCTAATATTAAACTTACCGTGAAATTTCAGAATTTGTGCTTCGTAAAGTTCCTTTTCGTATTTGATCTCTACTTTCGCACCTTCGTATAACGTTTGGTTTAAACCCAGTAATCTTTTAACGTTGCCGGTTGGCAAAATGCACGTATGGTTTTATATCTTCCAAGAAACCCAAAATACGTTTTGGTTGACAAGTAAGCGATCGATATCTCATTTTATTAGTCTGATAGTAATACGAATCGAGTGATATTAGTCTGAGCTCTTCACTTCAGCTTTAGCGAATTATACTGCAACTTTGAAAATCAAGCGATGAGTCACAGTCATTGAACCGTGTTGAAACACAAAGACTGTTTCCTGGACATGTAAAGGTATAAAGGGATTAAGGGATTAAGAGAAGTCATTTATCCAGAAATTATATGGTAATTATCAATTTATATGACATATGACATATATCACCATGTGCATTTACTGTTTTGGAAAAACAATACAAACTTGTTGCTGTAAATAAAATTATATAGTGGCTCGTAGTAATGGTATTTTATATGAAAAATCAAAAGCACTATATATATTGTAAGTGAGCATCTTCGTTTTAATATACTGATGAGTTACGGAGACATAACATTATTCAAATACAGAATTGCATATCAACTAATCGGCAATCTTCTACGAGGTAAGTCTGAATTTGAGTAGCAAATGAATGTGTTGCGAGATATATACTCGTTGTAGTCGTGATCTCACTGAGTTTAGTATATGTGGTTACATTATATTTATATATAGTTTATGTCTATTTTACGCTCCAATATACGTACAGTCATATACGCTTCAATCGCGACTCAAGTACGTGTGATTGCATTGTGAAAGCACTACGCTTACTGTAGTATAACGAATAACATTATAAAATGGTTATACTAAGTGTTAGGTTAAACTATACTATACTAGTTAGGTTAAATGAAACTCGATTTCGGATTCAACTTTTTATTCTTTGCTTCTCCGATCAGTGACACTGATCTGTACTCTCACGACAACCTACGAGTATGATGCAAATATTAGTTCGTTTTTCTGATTATGTTACGACGACTGCGTCCAAGCGGACGCAGTTTTTAACTAGAGGCCGGACGCGGGCGCTTTGGAGGCAGGACGCGGGCAGAGCAGACGCAAGACGCGGGCGTCGTGGAGGACGGACGCGGGCGCTCTGGAGGCAGGACGCGGGCAGAGTGGACGCAAGACGTGGGCGCTCTGGAGGCAGGACGCGGGCAGACGCGGGGACAAGTTATTTCTTAGCAGTACTGTAGATAAAAAATTCAAATTTTAAAGCAAATTTTGTCATTTTTCGGACCTCTGCGAAGACATAGCTACCATGTTGTCATTGTCATACCCAATTCTTACATTCTTACATGTTGCTTTATGGTTTAACATTCCTTCATAATAAATGGTGAAAATTCCTGTCACTTGATAAAAAAGCCAAAATAGAGCCAAAAGGCCAAACATTTTTTTCAAGGCCAAACAAGAAATAAAAAAGCCAAAATCGAGTTATTTGGCTGCAAAAAGGCCAAGTTACCAACCCTGGACGTAACTAGTGTACCCGCGTTTTTTGTGCGCATGCTTGGCAAGTTACTAGATGCATGCATCTGATTGGGTGATGACGACTCACTTTAAACTTGCTGAGCACGCGCAGTTGATCATTTTTTGCCTGGTCGCCTGAAAAAAAGTGGGTACATGATAACGTAATCTTCCGCAGTGTTTACAACGGTCAGTTACGTCTCTGTATGTCTCTACTCTGTGATATAAAGTTACATAACATATTCGGTGCTTCCAGGGGAAGTTCAGGAAATTTAAGGAAATTCCACTAAGAAAAGAGGAAATTTGGATTTGAAAGTGGAAGCACCGGCATAAGACAAATGAATAATGAATAGAATGTGAGAAATCAGAGGTGAGAAATTATACATCAAGATGACTTGAAAATCACAATAATTATTATAAAAATATTGAAAATTCTCAGATCTGTTAATTATGGATATGTAACCTACGACTAAAAACGGTTAAACTTTGATAAGAGTTTGAAGCCTAGGTACTAAGAATTATTAAAACGTTCGACACATGACAGAATAAAAGAGTTTTTGAAGTGGTTTGTTGTGCGTTTGATTGGTGCAAGTTTCTTTGGGGCACGTAGATCATAATTAGGAATTGCAGCGATCTTTACCAGACCTGATAGCGGACTAGACTCCGGGACAACTTTATCCTTAAAGAATGCCGAGCACAGTTGTTCACGTCTTGAATGCAAAGTTGGAATGTTACAGACCACTAGTGCGTCTTAATAGTGGGATCATATAAACAGCCCCTTATTCAGCAAATTGTGCATTTGCCTTTAATCCCTTGGGGATGAGGCAGCACTTTCCTTGCGATAGTAACTTCTAGTATATTTATACAAGGAGTCAAATTTTAGTAATATTTGTTTGTGTGGCGATGTCCCAAGGCGATGAGTTTGTATATTGTTCATTCTATATGTTTATAGCAATGTGCTTTCAGCACGTTTTAACAACAAACGCGGACTTTTGTGTATGCATGTCTTAATAATCAGGCTTAATGTATAAAATATATTCCTATACTAGCAAGCCAGTGTGGATTGTTGTCTACCAGCAGTTACATGTAATATACCCTGCTGGCAGGGGCGTAAATGTGGAGGGGTGTAGGGGGGTGGTTCACCCCCCCCCCCC